AAAGAGGTTGAAAAGATGACTCAAGTATAAAGTTAAAATACTCAAGTATAAAGACACACAGACAGGTAACGAAGTCCAGGGCCAAATAATCGGAGCTCAAATCCCAGGTGTACTGCTTACATCACTCTGGGTGAATCTTTCTCAATTTCTTCCGTTTAAAATTGCAGCGTTGACGTCACCTTCCTAATTATGAGGCTTGAACGGGTATAAAACCATCAGTGCTTCTTTGTGATCCTTCCAAATCCCCTCAACTGTCCTCTTAGCAAATTGCCACCCAACCAGTTAGTTAAGGAAAGCACAACAGTACTCACTCATATCAATTTTCTTTCTGTTGTCTTCCATCTTTCTCTTGCACAAACTCAGGTAAAAGCAATATATTGTAGATTTCCCTCTGGCATACAAATAGGTTTGCTAATGTTTGACCATGTATCACTGAGGAGCTATTTGATGGAAGGCATCAGTGTCACCAGAAATTATTTGTAAACATTCTAGGTTCAATCCGCAGAACTTCTCATTGAAGAGTCGTCGAGACACACGAGAATTATTAAAATTATATTTTAATATAATTTTAAGATAATTATTAAAATTATATTTTAATATAATTTTAATATAATTATTAAAATATATTTGCAAAGATATTTTTCTAAAATCACTCTAAAATTTAAAAATCATCTTGTTTTTTTTTAAAGTTGGATTAGAATAAACAGCAGCAGTGGTTTCTCCAGCACTGCCTAAATCCAGTTGTTGGGATTTAATCCCCACTGCAGGGCTCTGGGAGGCTGAGGGCAAGCAGCTCTGTTCTCCTGAGGGCGTCCACACCATTTTCAAGGGAAGGGCTTAGTTACTGAGCCTGGACTTCCTAGAAATGTGAACTTGGCCTCTGTTGCTCCCTCACTTTTGCGGGCCCCTCTCCATCACACTCTGTAGGGGTGATGCAGCCTGAAGGTCCTCCTGGTGCCATGTTCTTGGACTTCCTAGCTCCCCAAACCACAAGCCTAATAAACATCTCTTCCTTATGAATCACTCAGTCCCAGTTGTTCTGTATTAGCAGCACGGTGTGGACTAAGATTTAAAATGTTTTTTTATTAATTTCTATGATTATTCTGGGCATGTGATTTATTGAAAGCAAACAGCTCATTCATAACCTCAGTGTTCTAAAGAGTAACATCAAAGGTCATAAGGGATATGTGATGTAAGAACATGGGAAGGGAAGAAAGAAGAAAAGAAAGAAAGATACAGGTAGAAAGTCAAAATTTGAATCCCAAAGTTTCTTATAAAATGTATTTTGGGGGGCTGGCGATTTAGCATAAGCACCTGCCTTGCAAGCAGGCGGTCGCGAGTTCGATCCCCGGTACCGATAAAAAAGGAAAAAGAAAAAAAAAAATGTAAAAAAAAAAAAATGTATTTGTACCTGGCTTATTATTTAAATAGACAAAAAATTATAGCCTTAACATATGAATTAGTCACTTATTGCCTTCCTTGAATAAAAATGCACATTTATGAATACATTAAAAATTTATAATAAAAATATGTAAAAAAAATAAGCTGTAGGAATTATCAAATGTCATAGATTAGTCATAGATGTAAAAACATAACAGTGTTACAGCTACTTGGGAAAAATACTTCCTAAAACATTAACCCAAGGGGAATGTTTAGAAAATTGTGATATAATATGAAATTTAGTCATGATCTACCACCTTTAACTCATTTTCTTTTTCCTGTGTTCCAGTGCCCACCAATACAAATTTTCAAAATATGAAATTGCTTCATCATGTACTACTATGCCTTTTATAGATTATTAACAAAAAAGTTGAAGATACAAGTTTTGGTTGATATAGCTTTCTTTAAATATTATACCAGGCAGAGTAGTATACAGCTGTAATACCTGCACTCTGGGAGGCTGAGACAGGAAGATTGCAAATTGGTTGTCAGCCTGGGAAATTAAAAAGTTGCAGTATAGCTCAGTGATAGAGCACTTACCTAGCATGCATGTGGTCCTCCTGCACTACAAAAATTTAAAAAAAAAATTGCTTTAGTCAAATGCCAGAAAGTTATCAAAATTGATTCTCTGAATAAAGCAAAAGGCAAGAAAAGCAGGGATACCAGTCTTCTTTTAATCTGCAAAATGCAAAAAATATTCCTGTAATGTTAAAAAGATACTCATGAGTCACAAATGTTAGATTCTTTCCTGTCACTTACACTGTCCCTAAAGTATCAATAAGTGTCCACAAATCTTATCAAACCAAGAGTAAAAGAGGGCACTGCAACAATTACCAGTTAACTCTCAATTACCTGCAATGGTATTTCTTCTTGCATTTCAAAATGATCCTAAGAATCCCTAGGATTTTGGTAGCATCACATGGTATCTTTTTATTTTCCTCTTGCATCAAAAGAAAATAGCAATTTAATTATTAATTTGTATAGTGTGCATTTTCCTTCTTTCCCAGTGTTGTGAAATATAATATTGAATGAAGCTAATAAAAATTCAGGCCTGCCCTTCCTCTGAAGAGCTGATACATGGCTAACAGCACATGAAACAAAGCCAATCCATGGCTCCCTAAAAGCCACAGAGAGCCTAGATCACTTTTCCTCCCACACGAGCTTTGTTTCAGGAGCACATTTTGAAGTAAGATATAAGAGTCTGGGATATATACAGCATAGGCTCATTCTAACAGATGGATTTTTCCCAAAATAACTTCATTAGTTAATCATTTCTTTTACATGTACTTGTTCTAGCTAATTGGCAGAGCTGCCAGCTGGAACGGTTAAGTCTCCTCCAAAGGAACTGATAGGTAAGGAGGAATCTCCAGTTTCTTCAGTTTTGAGATAAAACTTTATTAATGGCACATGTACAGTTAATGCAGTTTTAAAATAAATTATTTCATAATTTCACTTTTCTTTGATTCTGGAAACCTTACTTTGTGTAAAAGTCAAATTAATTGAGGAGACTTAAAAATTTTAATATATTATCCAGGCCAGGTCCCAATCTTGGCACGATTTACATTATGGACATAACATAATCTCTGTCTCTGTCTTTCTCTATCACTTTGTCTCTCTTTGTCTGTCTGTCACTTTCTTAGTCTCTCTCTCTCTCTCTCTCTCTCTCTCTCTCTCTCTCTCTCTGCTGAGTTGTCTTGCATTGCAGGCTGTCTAATCACATCCTGGCCTCTGTTGTTCTAGTTGATAATTATTGTGCTAAAAGAAATTGTTCCTAAGTTTTAGCTTAATTTGTACAACAACTTTAAAATAATTTGATGTATGTGTGTACAAATGTCACTCTATGTGTGCCTCAGGTATTAAAAACTGGTACTTTTCAGTTAGGCAATTAAAATGTTTTGGGAGGAATTAGTAACTGATCCCTTCATAAATCTCTCTAGGCAAAGAAAAAAAAGAAAAGGAAGAAGAAAGAAAGGAAAAGTGGTTTAAAGCTGCCAATGACTATTAACTACATCTAAAAACACCTGCACAATCTTCATCATCAAAAGTATAAAGGATTTGTTTTCCTTTAGGGAAAATCTTCAGTATCATAGATATCAAAATTATACAGTGAGATCATTTGACATGTAAATTATCATCAATACTTTAGCTGCCTAAGGCATCTTTTAAATAAAAGAAACTCATACATTAATAAAATGGACAGGAAGAAAAGGAGTGGGGAATGATTTTAACTTTGCTATTTAAGAGCAAAGTGATTCATTTCGGGCTTATACAATGGTAAGTCATTCTGATGGAGAAATTTCCTGATCTTTGAAGTTAAGTGGTAAAAGTTTTCACCAGGTAAGGGACGTATCTGTCATTTATGTATCAATGGATCCAGGAAGAGTGCCATAAAAATAAGTTGTGAGTTACCTTTTACAAGAAAAACAGTGACTTTATTGTGCGTTACATTGAAGGAGAGAACGTAGCAGGTGTGTAGAGAGAATCGTGTCTGCCTTTATAAAGGTCCTGAATTCTAATCATGTTGCTTTCTTTTCCACAAAGCTTTTCTGATGCAGACTTCCTCAAGCAGTCTCAAAATGAAGGCTACGTTTTGACATTTAACAATTCTACATGTAACGGTTTAATTTTTCCCATTAAAATCAAAGTTTTTACCCAAAAATTCCACAGTGGTCTCTACCTTCTCCATGAGAATTCCTGCTCCCATATTAGGAATTTAGATTTTTACCCTCCTTTAAAAGAATCATTCACTCATTCACTTTATTTATATGTTTGTTTATTTATTATTTTGATGCTGCAGTATGGGCTAAAATCCTCCTGCCTCAACCTCCCAGGTGCTGGAACTGCAGGTCTGTTATCTCCAACCTGGACGGGGCACTCTTCTTTGTAATGTAATGACGTACAGATTGTCCATTTTAATTCTTCAGGTTCGTTTTAAGTAACATAGTGCATGCCACATTTTGCCAACTGAACAAAAAGGAACATAGATCACGTGTGCTGCGCTTTGCCTGTCTGTCGTGTTTTTTTTTTTTTTCATTTTGTTTTCGACCCTTACTCTGAGTTTTCCAGCTCCTCGTGCTAGACAGTTCACACTCACCCTCTGCAGCTGAACATGTCCCACACTCAGCTTCTGAGGTCTGAGACCTTGCACTCTCACTGTGCGTGCTGTCTGTGCCCTACACCTAGCACACTCACTCTCTGAGGTCTTGGACCTTGCACACTCATTCGCAGAGGTCCTTGGGATTGCACATTCACTCTCTGAGCTCCTGGACCGTGCATGTGCATACTTACTCTCTGAGGACCAAGGCCGCCGGGCAAGCCCATTCCTTGATGTCGTACACTGTGCACGTTCACCCTCTGCACCCTAGACCTTGCACGCTCATTCCCCAAAGCCCTAGACTTTGCACGCTCACTCTCCAAGGCCCTACACCGTGCACGCTCACTCTCCGAGACCCCAATCCGTGCACGCCCACTCTCAGAGCCCCTAGACCATGCATGCTCACTCTCCGAGGTCCCAGACAGTGCACACCTACTCTCCGCGGCTCTAGACTGTGCACACTTACTCTCTGCCGGCTCTTTGGATCGCCGGCCGCTGGACGATTTCCTCAGCAGCAGGCTGCGTCCTGAGGTAAACAGGCTGGTCAGTTCTTCCAAGGGGCTCGTGGGCGTTCGGGATCGAGACCCGCCGGGAGCCGCCCCGTAGGTGTTCACGGCGGCGTGGACCATCTTGGCCGCGTCCTGCGACACGGGGCGGGGGGCGGCGGGAGGCACTGAGGACGAGCTCCGGGAGAGGCTGCCGAGCACGGCGGCGTCGTAGGGGGGCGGCCTCTTGAGGCTCAGCGGGGTCAGCGAGCGCCCCATGCTGACGGGGGACGGGGAGGTGGAGTGGCTCTTCGGGTAGCCGTGGGGAGACGGGGTCCGGTACAGCGTGGCCGGGGGAGGCGGGGACGAGGACAGCGCGGCGGCGGCCGGCGCGGGGCCCAGGGCGCCCGCAGGCTCCTTGTCCAGCTTGGCGTGGCCGGAAGGCGGCGACGCCCCGGCCGGCGGCGGCGGCTTCATGTAGGACGCGCTCTCCAGCACCGGGAGCTTGGCGACCTCCAGCGGGGTCAGCGGGGACTCGTCGGAGTTGGGGGAGCAGTGCACCGGCGCCGGCGGGAACACCAGCAGCGGGGGTCTGTGCGAAAGCAGGTTGGGGAAGGGCGGGGGGATGTCGCAGAGCAGCCCCCTGGGCGTGCACGGCCCCGAGGACCGGGCGGGCTCCCCCGAGTCGGGCACCGTGGGCGTGGGCGTGGCGCACTGCGAGGAGCAGCCCAGAAGGTCCGCCTCGCACTTGGGCTCCTGGCCCAGCTCGTCGAAGATCGGGTACTTCATCTCCTCGTAGACGGCCTCGCTCTGGTCGTCCTCCTCCTTCCTGAAGTCTCGGAGGATGTTGCCCACCATCTCGATGTACACGGGCTCCTCCTCCTCGGGGTCCCCCGCGGGGCTGCTCACCTGCGACAGCGACGAGTCCCGCGTGAGCGACGTCCTCCGCGGCCCGTGCTTTTTGATGTAGGTCTCGTCAAAAGATGTGCTCAGCTGAGTGTTGGGGTTCCTCTTGGGCTTCGGAGGGGGGATCTTCTTGGAATATTCGTCACTGTGGGGTCTGGGTTTGGTTGACACTAAAAGAAGAAAAAGGGTAGTAAATAGTTGACCAGAATAACCAAGTGTTTGAAAAGGATTTGCACTTGGAGCTATAAACTTTCCGTAGGAATGACCAAATCATTTCTAGCTCAAGACTCACATCAAAAACCAACTACCGAGCCAAACGTCCCCATTTTTAGAAAAATCAGATGGGCAGAGTAATAGAAATGACGGACTTGGGACTAATCCAACAGATAAGTGCACTAAAGCCAAGATTACCTCTCACTTCTTTACCTTAGAAATTTTAAAAGGAAATGAAGTCTGTGGGATAACAGTAATGCACTTTATAGTAAATATCCTGCAAGATAAGTGAGAAACTCAGAAGAATTTAAAATAATCCAGTGTCGGTTAGCACAAATGGTCACAAAACCTCCATAGAGTTAAGCATTTTAAATGATTGCTGTTGTTACATATGATTACATCTTGCTTTCATTTAGGATAAATATTCCCTGGCCTGCTAGACTTACTTAATCTCTGTCTTTCAGATAAATAGCTTCCATGATTCCATACTTCAAGGGAAACTGATGTAAAATACCTTATAAAGTTAGACAAGCTAATCTCTAAATCTGCAGGTATTGTCGATTATAGTGTATTTGTCTGGTTTTATTTATAAGATCTCTTATGATATCCCAAATACTGTCTTGCAATGAATTTATGAGACATATTTCACTGATACAACTCCTTGGGGAGTTTTAAAAGACAGTTACCCAGGGAATGATGTATAAACTTCAAGAATAACTGCCAGAAACTCACAACAGATATGTGTACCAATGGGTTCCCCCATCTGAAGCTTCCCTTGTGTGACAAAACATTAACTTCTGACACTATCCAGTAAGGTGGAAAAAACTGGGAAATATCTATGACTACAATCCATTGTTTAGCATGCCACGAAGGTGCTGAAGTCATATTATCTCATTATCTCATCGTGTTGATATATGATTATAATGATTATCATCATTATGCAATGTGACAGTGTAGTCATTTACATTAGAAGGTAGCATGCAATGTAAATTGACAAAACTTGAGGAAATAATCAGGCTTCTCCATGAGCTACATTCTAAAGAAAGGAAGGTTTCTCAAGGCACAAATCGGTACACAGTAATTTCCCTTTGTATTTTGGAAGTGGTGCAATTTATGACCTAAGATATTTTCTAGAACTTATATAAGAAAAGGAAAGTGCTTAGGATTAGCTAGGTGACTGCTTTCAACGAGAGAATTAATCCAATATTTTTAGTATGTATGTATTATATTTCACTAAGTTATTTGTGATTTTAAATATTCATTCCACTGGACCCATCATGATCACTGTATTCATGACAATCAACCAAGATCTAATATACTAGACTTTATTTCCTTTAATGCACACTAGCAAACTCATTTACATGGGGATTATAGCAAGTAAAGTCCTTTAGTTTCCAAAATAAAAATGCCTAAATACCCACTGAAGTGAAAACTGTCCGATCAATCATTCTTTAGAAATTAACATAGCTCCTCTCTGTCCCACCCATCATGGTATAAACATTCCTGGCTCTGAAATCTATCAAGCATCTACATTTTCATATGAATTGTATAAATCATCAGATTATAAAAGTCCAAACTGATGAAAAAGTAAAACTATAAATGAAAAAGACTGATTTGATTAAGTAATAAAAGGATTTCAAAATGATCAGGGCTTAGAAGAATGAAACTCACTCAGACTATTCTTTGAATAATCTGTTCCCAGTTATCCCCAATCACAGTGATGCATTCAAAGTTCTATATCAAGTAACTCAGACTCTGGGAAGATATTTGCTACTGACTGGTGGGTTATGAAGATTGAGTGTTGGGAGGCACGAGAAATCCTCAGAGCAGCGAGGTATTCTGTAAGTGAGTGACTGACTGGAGACTGGAAAGTTGAATGTATCAATGAGACAGGTAACTTCATTGTATGGGTCCAACATATTTAAAGCATGATTTTTACTCTTTCTTAAATCATAAGGAGTCAATGCTACATCTTGAAGAAGTATAGTATTCAGAGAAGCAACATGAGATGGACAGGCCTACTGACCACACCTACTTTCCCATATAAGTTATGTCCTTGGGAATAGGTGAGACCAATGTTTGTGTTATCCTCAAAGTGTGAATAAAAACTATTTCTTATTTTTGGCAAAGAAACACAGAAAAATGAAATAAAGTTCTTTTGTATCTCTGAAATGATTGAAACGAGGAGTTTTTATTTCAAAACACAACATAGACGTAAGATGGAATAAATATTCATAAGAAAGAGTCTGAATAACCCATTTACACTATGAGGACAATTTCAATGCCAAACCAATTATGGGTGTTGTCTGCAAGAAAGAAACAGAAATAACATATGACTCTTAGGGTAACTGTGAGGTGATCACTGTTGATAATAACTGAATTATGTTCCTCTTCTCAACAACAAAAAAGTCTATGTTGAAGCCCTAAATGCCAATATGACGGCATCAATATCTCCTTTAGCAGACAGGTAGGTTAAGATAAGGTCATAAAAGTAGAGTCCTCATAAGGTGATTATGTACAGAAAAAGAATAGTTTACAATCCAACTAAACACTGCTCATCAAGAGCATTTTCTTTTCTTTTTGAGACAAGGTCTCACTGTATAGCCTAGGCTGTCTGACCTTGAACTCATGGCAATCGTCTTGCCTCAGCCACTCAAGAGCTGAGATTATGGGCATGACACAGCACACCCAGCTAGAAAGAATAAATGTCTAGAATTTAAATCATCCATTTACTTGTCTTGGCTGCCTAAGCCACCAAAGCCACAGAAGAATTTCTTGAATGAATTTTGTGTAAAGACCCTTCCACAATTGGAAGGTGAACACCTACTTTACTTTCATTTTATTGACTGGCACTGCACTTCTTTAACTAGTTTTGTTATTTTAAGAATTAACACAACTTTTTCCTAGGCAGCCTTTTAAATTTCTCCTCTACTTTGTCCCCCTGTCCTCTTACTTCCTGAAGCAGTGTTCCAGCTGCATATGGAGTTGTGCATCCCAGACACCCGCACACAGCCACCCTCCACCGCATTCCCCTTCTAGATCTGATTCTGCCTCTTCTAGATCCCATTCTCTAACCTCGGTGTGTGAGCAGATGCACATTACTTAAACCTGACCCATCTGTGGATGTTTGTTGCTTACTGTTGTCATTGTCTTTGACGTATTGGCCCCCTTCTGTACTCTATTCCACTTCCTCAGGACCCAGACAGCAATTCTTTGAGGGAGCCCTCATGATCTAGGCAGGTTTCATGCCTCTTCCTATCCCTTCCCTTCTGTTCTTGTTGAACAAAGCCAAAGGGTGCAGATTTATATAATTTATATAATTCTTCTTCCTTGGCATTGATCAATTTTTTAAATGTAAGAATAAGAATTATGTAGAGAATAGAATAATTAAATTATAGGTGATCCAGATGAATAAACAGATCCATTCCTTCAAAACCAGGGGATTTTTTTTAATCTGTTCACAATCTCATTTGCATTCAGCATTCCTCTTAACATCCATAATTATTTCCAGAGAGCAAAGCACAAAGCAATTTGTTTTCCAGTATACTAATATTTCTCATTTACCATCGTGTGTATATTTTTAGTAAATAATCTGTAGAGCAATGAAAATGTTTCAACTGTCATATATATGCTTTTTAAAAGTTTATATAGAGAAGTGTCTGAAATTTTAGGCAACATCATCTCAATTTATTCTAATTCATATTCACTCTTAAAAATTAAAATGAAGAAAAATCATGTTAAACTGTAGCTTCTTTATAAAGTACTTAAAATAGTCTTGAACTCCACACTTACATGCTAAAGTACTGTTAAAACAAAATTTGCATTGCAAATTTCAACATGCAACCTTATTCAACAAAAAAGGTGATTTGTATCACTTTTAAATGAACTTTAAATTATTTCTAATAAGCCCAAAGATAGAAGCAATAATCCCTGTGTGGCTCCAGAACACAATTTTTAGTGCTTAAAATAGTATAATGACAGTAGCATTGAATAAGCAGAAAGTGACATTTTTGGAATGAGATATTTGAACACAAAGGTTGGGCATGGCTTTCAGTCATGCCTAGGTAATCTGTCTTTCACAGTTAATTTTGGAAATTCTCCATGTCCTTTGTCAATCTATCCTTCAGAAATACATTTTTCTTATTAGAAAGTGTTATATTAAATCATGCTTAGTATCTGTCAAATGCTCTTGACCTAAGACATGAAAAATAGACACAACAGAGACCAGAATTTCTTCTCATGGAAAGACTCAGTGGCCACAGGATCTTAGAATTTGAAGGACTCTTAAAGATTGTCTAGGCTAAATGTAATGTATTACCAGAGAACAAATAAGAAATCCTTAATGTGTACATTTAAAACAAAATATTGTATCTTAAGTCTTGTATGCCCCTTGTAACTGGGAAAACGAGAGTAAAAACTGTCTCATTCATGATTTTATTCATGGCATAGAATATCATTAAAAAAAACAAGTTACTGCTTATGCTATAAATGAAGAACAGTAATTTTTTATATTCTGCCATACTCATATATTTAAGTAAGCAGTTCAAACTGGGAAATGAGCCCTTGTTAGAGGGAAACAATGTCCATGCCTCGTGATACTGGAACAGGATATGCTTCAAGGTGAGAGACACATGTCCCACATTCCGCAGAATTGTGCTCACAATAACCGTCTTTTCACAACACACAATTCCTCAGCTTTGAGAGATATTTTCATTTTCACAAGTCCCACAATACTATCCCAAGTTTCTTTAAATTAAAATGCTAGTTCAGGGATGAAAGTTGCAAATCCTATTTGTCCATTTATAGTAGGAATAAGAAAGTATGTTCTTATGAGAAAAGTATTGGGTTTGGAGTTGTAGGACTCACATTACAGTCCTGGATCTGGTGAAAAAAAATTTTTAAATCCAAGACTTTAAGTTAAGGTTTGGGTGGAAAAAACAAAGAAAGGGGTGGAAGT